GACTAAGGAAGACTGAAGAAGCATCCATGCGTTTGAAGTGGGATCAAGAAGAATATCGAGAGTGCCATGGACTGCCAGAAGAACACGCACATTTGTCTGCAAGTCCATCTAGAATGCGCCTCAGAAGCAGTGATCGTGGGACTTCATGTACTCTGGACATCTAATCAGGAGAGATGGGTTTCTGGAAAAGGGCATCGTGTGGTAAACCGTGGGGTCAGTGAAAAAGAGGGAGATTTTGACACAGTGGCGACAACAGTGGGTGCCAGCATAGCAACGTGGTTGTGAGGATGACGCAGGATGGGGCAGCGTTTTGTTCTTTGTACACGGTTGCTATGATTTGGGCCCGGCTTGATGGCACCTGGCAACACCATAACAACAACCCCTTTTCCCTAGTGCAGTAGCAGTTCTCCACAGAGTTATCTTTTGCTGGTTGCTTACAGTAAAAAGGATGAAATGAAACACTTACTTTAGCAGCTCTTTCTTCTGCAGTGTGTCAGGCCTTGTGGTAGGCAATTGGACACAATGTACAGGGAAACACCCTCACCTCTCCCTTCTGGAGGCTGGTGTTCTGTAGGAGTGTATGTATATAGATATGACACCTGCTGCTTTCCACCTACTCTTTTGTTCCTTTGCAGCTGCCTGGTACATGTTAGCCAATGATACATGTTAAGGATCCACATCATAACCACTGTCATTTGGGCCTTTTTTTTGGGCCCTGAAGTCCTCTGTGGCCTTCAAATTAGCTTGCTCTCCTAAGTAATTTGTTCCCCAACGTATTTTGTAGAGTGTCTGCCCATAACTGGCACTCAGTATGAGTTTATTTAATGAGTAAATAAAGACATCAATTTTCCTCCACGTTTCTCATGGAGTCTCCTGGAGTTCTTTGTAGAATGCACCTGCACATCTGTATGGGAAACTGGGCACTACAGGGAAGCTTCACTGTGGACGTTACATAGTAAGGGGCATTACAGGGAATGTCACTGTGGCCTCTCAGGCTCTGTGTGTGCTGGCTCCTGCCCTGCTGTCCTTACTCGTTTCCTGCACCTCAGCCTCCACACACGGCGGTGACTGTGCCACACTAGGCGCTCTGCCTGTGCTGCTTTGCACTAAACGCCCTTTTCTTCCTGTGCCCATGAGAAATCTCCGTCCTCACTGTGTTTGCCGGTGGCCTCTTCTCAAGCCCCTGGGCCAGCAGCGTTTTCTTTGTGACTGCCTTCCGTACTAGCCTGTGAGATTCCTAATGAACACATCTTCTTAGCTTTGAATCACCAGGGCGTCACCTAGTCTCTGGATCATAGCCAGAGTTTAATAAATGTTGAAAATTAATGTGCACACAGTAAGCACCTGCACTTTTGTGGGTATTCACACAGTTTCTGCATCCACTTGAGTCTTTCACACCTTAGTGCTGCCTCCTGAATTTGAATAGGATACAATCTGAGGAGTATGTGTATTTAGCCTGTTTCCCTTTGTTTTCAAACCGCTGGGAGTTCCCGTTAGGCTCCACCTTGCCTTGCCTGTGTAGACAGATGAGTGTACTTTAAAGTTCCCACCAGCGCTCCCAAGTCCTCATCGCTCTTTCCTTGTTTCCCAAGGTTTGCCTTGAGGTATTTCAAGGACACGTCCCCAGTTTTTCAGAGGCTCTTCCTGGAGAGTTCTGATGCTAACCCAGTCCGCTATGGGCGCCGGCGGATGAAGCTCCGGGACCTGATGGAAGCGGCCTACAAGTTTCTGCAGCAGGCGCCGTCCGTGTTCCGGGAGCGCTGGGACTGGAGTGTGTGTGTCCCTCTCCTCAGAAGCCACGACACCCTGGTCCGCTGGTGGGTAGAGTAGCTTTGGGGTCTTTCCTGTGCTGCTAGAGTTGGCACGAGGGGGAGGAAACCCATCTGTGGTTTTGTTCCTGTACCTTTGGGTCCTTTCCCTGTCCCTTATGTGCAGATCAGTCAGAGGAGACGAGACTGTATGAAGTGCGAGGCTGTCATTCGTTCAGGGTTAATTCCAGCCGGAGTTTGGCCTTCATTTCCTGTTCAGTTAGTTCATCCTGCCAGATTTATATTTTCTGCCCATAATTGTTTGTGGTAGTAATTCTTTATGGTTTAATTTTCTAGTGTCCAGTTGGCTAGTAAATTTTATTTGTTCTTCGGAGTCAACTGCCGGTCAATGGAATTTCCATGCCTTTTGTTTTGTTTTGTCGTCCTCTTAGGTACACTGCCAATTGTCTTGCTTTGGTCACCTGTATGAATGAAGAGCACAAGTTATCGTTCCTTAAGAAGACCTTCAGTAGTGAGGAATTGATCCATTTCAGGTTGAAGTAAGCAGGCTCGCCCTTTCCTGGAGAACTAGGTGTGACTTTGCTGCCCGTGAACGTGACTGATGAGCTCCTGGCTTTCCCCAGGTTACTAGAAGAGGCCCAGCTGCAGGACTTGGAGAAGGCCTTGCTTTTGGCCAACCCTGAAGCGTCTCTTTGGCGTAAGGAGAAGGAGCTGCAGTACTTACCAGGACACCTTGTTTCTGCTGACCTCTCCTCCAGGGTGACCACTGTCTGTGGCGTGCTGCTTCCTGGGCAGCAGCTGGCCCTTGAAGAACAGGTGTGTTGGCATCAGAAAGGTGTTTGATGCTCTCTTGGCCTCTCCTAAACCCTGTGTGCAATATGCACTAGCGATAAGCCACGTGGAGCTTGCTTAATTGCTACGCTATGTTTGGAAGTGCTGGGTGTGGGGGGTGGTTAAGCGAAAATCATCCATTGCCCTCTTTCCTGATAGCCTGTTGTCCCTCTTTAATATGACATGAGAAACAGGCACGGTGCCTGTGTGAATTCTTTAATCCCGCAAAGCTCGTCTGTGTATCTTCTCGTGTGTCTGCTGTGACTGCTTTGTAAAGCTGGGCAGCACATGCTGTGATCCCGTGTTTATATGAACCTGCCTGGGGAACCTTGGGCAAAACTAGGGCTGGGTCCAGGGATGTTCGCTTCTTATAACCACCATCCTGTCATAGAGTAGCTCTGGGCCATTGGAATGTTAACAGGGAATGGATTTGCCTGAGATGGCCTGGTACTGTGCAGCGGGGGGAGGCGGGGGTGGGGAGGGGTGGGGGTAGGGGGTGGGGGCGGCGCGGCGCAGTGGAGCCGTGGCCCCCCGCCCATGTGCTGAACTGTGAGAGCCCTGAGCGGAACTCCAAGGACGTTCAGCTCCGACTCTCCCACTTTGGCCTCTCATCTCTTCAGAAGACTGATTGTATGTGAAAAGTTAGTAGTCTACTTAGAGGAAAGTCTCAACGTCTCTAAATAACCCAGCACTCTTCATATGCCTACAAATGTCTTATAAAATATTCTCTCTGTGCACATATTTTTCTGATTGTCTCAAATGGATTGTGTGCATTTTTGTACCTTAGGTGTGAATCCTAGAATATGGGGAGGTGAAGGAAAATTTAAAAGATAAACAAATATCCAACTTTGACTCATACAGTTTTGGGGAGATGTTCTCTTAAATTTATTAATAAATTCTGCCCTCTTAAACAATAGAAATGAAATGTGGAAAAAACCTGATGCTTATTTTGGAATTTTGGGTAACATTCTTGCTCTGTAATAGATGCGTGTCTTCATTTTGCTGGTACAATTTTATTGACAGATTTGGTACAATTGCTGGTATAATTATCGACAGATTGAAAGCAGGTCCTTGGGAGCATTGTGTCCTTTTAAAAAAAAAAAAAAGTCGTGTCCTTTGAGGGAGAGACTCTGTTTGACTTGCTGTTTGTCCATTACTTGCTTCCTCAGGCGAATAAGAATTCTTCTCGTGAACAGGAGCTGGCCCTCAGGTCTTACGTGCTGGTTGAGTCCGTCTGCAGAAATCTCCAGACCTTGGCCATGGCAGTGGCTTCTCAGAATGCCGTGTTGTTGGAAGGGCCAATAGGATGTGGCAAAACTTCTTTAGTTGAACATTTAGCTGCAATGACAGGTAGAAGGAAGCCCCCTCATCTTCTCAAAGTCCAGCTTGGAGATCAAACCGACAGTAAGGTAATTAGGAAATGACAGCCTTTAGTGGGTGTATTAGTCTGGGTACTTTGGAGAACCAAATCCACAGCAACTCACGTATAAGAGAGAGTTTTATGCAAAGAAAATGTGCATCACGAAAACATCCCAACCCAATGCTGCCCAAGCCCACAAGTCCAACATTAACCCAACACCAGTCCACAAAGTCCTTCACCTCACAAAACAGAGGCAATAATGCCGACTGCAGGAGGAAAGCTGAGTCCGTGAACGTGTAAGCGTCTCAGCACTGGCAGGGGTCTCCACACGGCTGCTCCAGCACCCAGGGCTGCATCGGGATAGATCCATGCGGCTTCTCCTTGGGGATGTCTTGTAGGAAATCCATCTTGCAAGCTGAAGCAGGGAACTGCTAAGGCAGCTGCACCCGATGCAACCATCACAAAACAAGAGACCCGAGAACTCGAAAGGCGAGGCTTCACCACCCATTTATCCCTCCGCCTTTCAACCAGCACCACATGTGATTATCGGCCAGGCTGGCACAATTAACTAACTCAGTGGGTTTTGTTTCCACTTGGAGTCGGCAGGGCTAAGTTGTGTAAACTTCAAGTGCACGTTTACAGAACTAATCAAAGGATGGTGCATGGGCTCTCAGGTGTGTGGTCTGCTCACTTCCTTTCCGCTCATTTTGCAGATGCTGTTGGGGATGTATCGCTGCACAGATGTCCCAGGAGAGTTTGTGTGGCAGCCTGGCACTCTGACTCAGGCCGCCACCAAGGGCCATTGGATCCTTCTGGAGGACATTGACTATGCCCCCTTAGATGTGGTATGTTGTCCTGCTTATTACTGCTCCCGATCTCTTTGTTTACAAAGGATTAGTAAAGTAGTGAATTAGTGTTAGTGGCTCACCTTCACACCCTCCCCCACTCGCTTCTCCCTCTTGTGGACTGCTGTCTCCCGTTCACCAAGTTGGCATCTCTCGGCCCTCCAGCCTGCGGCTTCATCTTCTTCCCTTGCCCTGCCCTCTTGGTCCCTCCTTTCCATGTGAAAGTCTTTGTCTTGTCTTTTTTCTTTATGACAGTGGTCTCATACAATATTTGTCCTTTTGTGTTTGACTCATTCACTCAGCATATTCTTCTCCAGGTCCATCCATGCCAGGCATGCTTTGTAGCGCATTTTAAAAGTAGTAGTTATGGGGATAGTTTAAACCAAATTTGTTAGATTAGAGAGGTTGTAGGGAGTTCATTCATGATTACATTTGTAATCTGCTTTTATGGCTTGGGTTATTTGACTAGCCTCTTGCTTGGTAGAGAATGTCTCCTGTGCCCTGTACTTTTTGACCTTCTGGACTTAAAGAACTGGTCATTTTGACAGTCTACCCGAGTAAGCTTGGTAGGAAACAGCTGTGTTATAGACACACTGAGAAGGTTGGGATCCTGGCTCCCATCTGCAGCAGCCAGAGAGTAGTGCACTTGGAGCAAAAGCGGAGAGAAGAGGAATACGGGTATGCTCTGTGTTGCATTCATGGAGCCCTCGTGGTGTAGTTAGGTTGCTGACTACAAGATCAGCAGTTCAAAACTACCCGCTGCTCTGACTGAGAAGGGCAGGGCTTCTTATTCCTGTAAAAAGTTATAGTCTCAGAAACTCCCAGGGGCGGTTTCTGCCCTGTGCTAAATGGTTGCTAAGAGTTGGCATCACCTAGATGGTAGAGAGTTTATGTGGCTTGTCTTATTTTCAGTATAAGAGTAATAGACCAGTTATTTATTTGGGCCCCTATTAGTCTATGTGTGTAAACTTCAACCATGGAGCCAAGCCACGTTTCCTCTGTGTTCTGTAAATACTGACAGAAGACATAGTGCAGAATACAAATTCTTTCTTCGGGCAGATTTTGCTGTGCATGTTCTGTTTGATTTTAAGGGTGAAGCTTCAAGTGTGGCCTGTTCTTTCTCGTATATGAAAACGGGAATGCATATGTGGAGGGAGGTGTGCAGTGGAAAGCACATGGCTTTAAAGAGCATATGCAGTAGCTGATGCTTTGAGAATGTGTTGAAGTAAAGATGTCCTGGGGATGTTGTTCCACCTTTGGCCTCACAGCTCACCATGTCCCAGGGTCGCGTGCTTGAAGAGTGCTAGAAACTCGGTTTTCATCATACATCCCGAGTTTAGGCTTAAAAATCAACCTGAGGGTAAATCTATAGAGACAGTAATTGGATTAAGACTTTATTGGGGTGCAGCAGGGAAGGTTGGGGGTGGGTGGGAAATGGGCAGCTAATAATAAGGAGTACAAGAAAGAAGAAAATGTTCCAAAACTGATGGTGGTAGTGATTATTCACCACTTAAAAAAAAAATCATTTTATTGGGGGCTCGTACAGTGCTCATCACAATCCATACATCCCTCCATTGTGTGAAGCACATTTGTTGCCATCATCATTCTCAAACCATTTGTTTTCTCCTTGAGCCTTGGTATCAGCTCCTCTTTTTTCCTCCCTCCCTCCTTCCCTCCCTCACGAACCCTTGATAACTTATAAATTATTATTATTTTATCATGTCTTGCACTGTCTGACGTCTCCCTTCACCACTTTTCTGTTGTCCTTCCCCCAGGGAGGAGGTCACATGTAGATTCTTGTAATCACAACAGCAGCAACAACAAACAACCAAACTGAATAGAAACCATAAAGCCTGTTGGTAATTAGTCATTGCTTTTAAAATTCCCTTTGTTAGTGCCCTCCTCTGTGAGCAGTTTTCAAATATTTGGTACCTGATAAACCATTAAGGGATCTTGTTCCTGTCCCGTAGCTAAGTGCCCTTCGGTGAGGACCAAACTCAGATTCAAGACCGAATCCGCATTTTCCGGCCCCTCCCTTTTGGGTATTTTGCGCTCCATTCTCTTTCTGTCAGCACATCCGTCCCTACGAGGATGCCGTTGGACGGCTCACATTTACACTTCATGATCAGTGTGAAGTTGCCTTCTCAAGAACATGCCCAGATCTCACGACGGTTCCCCTGCCTGCTGTCTCCTGCCAGACTGGGCTGTAAAACCTTCGTCATGTCGGCTGCCTGCCTGGTCCAGGCTGGCAAGACCACGGGCCATGCTGGGTGAGGGAGTACGCTACACAGTGAGAGGGCTCTGCTGTTGTGCTGTGCTGTGGCTCCCCCGACATTCTCACATGCCTGGTGTGAGCAGTTCATGCCACGACAGCGGCCGTTTCCTCTAAGCCAGGCTCATCACGTCGTGACAGCTGTTTGGGCTTTTGGCAGTCTGTCTGCATAGCTTCACCAGAGCATTGTGTCACTCAGGTTTCCATCCTGATTCCCCTCCTGGAGAATGGAGAGCTCTTGATTCCTGGCCGAGGTGACTGTCTGAAAGTGGCACCGGGATTTCAGTTCTTTGCAACCAGGAGGTAGGTCTTACTAACCCCAAAGTTCTCACTCTGGGTAAGTCTGCAATTTACAACGCTGAGTCCAGAAGTCCTGGAATAGAATTCTCTGGAGCCTTTCCAAGCAGGATTAGTTGGAACTATTGGTGACACCTACTCATGCATGTTTATTTTATATTTTTACTTTTTACCCCGTCCTTATTTTTAATCGAAGATAATTTGGGGGACAAAATGATACTCATTTTTCTTTCTCACTAAAAATAAGGAACGAATGAAAACGTTTAACTTTGTATTTAATTAGAAGTTAGAGTGTATTGTCAGATAATCTTGGCTGTGAGTTCGGCTGTGAAATTTAGTGCATGTGTGTACCCTGCTTGTCTGATTATAACGAAGCTGGTAACACCTGAGTAGTTCTGGTGGCTCAGTGGTTCAGAGCACGCATGCTGACTGACAGCTTGGTGGTTTGAATGCGTTAGCCATCCTGTGAGAGAAAAGATCTGCTATGGGCAGGTGGGGGGGACAGCGATGGGGATGTGGAGGGTGACAGTTCTACTTTGTCACTTAACGTCATCGTTTTCTTTTTTTTAAAATCAATGTTGTGGCATACAATAACAGCCAGCTTCAAATGGTGATTGTAAAGATTACGAGAATTCACTTGTGCCCTAAACATTTCACATCATAGGTGCTCAGTTATTAATTAGTCGTGTTAATAGTGTTGGTATGTAGGTTTTCAGATGTTCAAAAATTAAGTTGGATGTGGTAAGTAAGCACCAACAAAGAAATAACCATTGAACTGACTCAGTAAATATTCCTTTGTACATTTTATAAACCGAGAAGACAGTGGTTTATTTTCTACTATTAGTCTGCCCAGGTACAGGGTCTCAAAGATTTAAAAATGCCCAAGAGGGAAACTAACATTAGATTCTGGTTAATGATTCTATTAGTGTTTCCAGTAGCTAAGGGAGCAGCCACTCCTAGATGCAGTGTAAGCTCACCTGCCAGTGCCAAGGAATGCCTTGTTAGAGCCCTATTAATTTTAACAGACTCTGGCCTTATTCACAGAGACAGTAACATTCTTTCCGATGTGATGCAAACATTTCCCAGATAAATGAATGGCATCGTGGGAAAATGTCAGACAGATTTTAGTTCCCTTTTCAACTCTCATTTGTCATTAAAGCTGAGTGAGCAAGAGCCATCAATATTCTCTTGTGTTAGAAAACAAAGATGATGCCTTCTTCTCAGGACAGGGTATGGATTAATTAAATGGCATACGTGTGAACATCTCACTTGGTCAGAGTAAGGTGAATTATACATTTCCTTCTCTTCTGCAAATATTACGATAATGGTAGGTACCATACCTTCTGTTAACAGGGAGTGAACGTAGGTCTAATGCTATGAGCCTTGGATCATGTTTCCTATTCTCTGAAGCTATTTATACCTAAAGAAGAGGAGCTTGTCATTGAGACCAAAATACCTACCTAATAGAATTATCTGCAGTGATTTGAAAGGAATTTGACTAAAGCTCTCACTCCTTCTTAGGAAAGGGTCGAACTTGGGTCAGCTGTCAGCTTCTCATTTGCCATCTGGCCTAATTGCCTAATGTAGTATTTGGCAGAAGGGGTTGTATGTGTTATTAGGTATGTATAATATATAGCAAGTGATCTCAGGAAACATAATTCAAGGTTAAAACAGAATTTTGTATGACTTTTTATTTTGTGACGTAGACTCTTAAGCTGTGGAGGAAATTGGTATCGACCATTAAACAGTCATGCTACTTTGCTAGACAAATATTGGACCAAAATTCACCTGGACAACATGGATAAGACAGAACTGAATGAGGTATGTGGTTATTAGAAAGAAATGATCAATGCTTATTTTTACTATGAAAAGCTCCAAATTACATGAAAGTAGAGTGAATGACTAAAATATTCATCATTTTGAACAATTGATTTGTTAACATTTTACCATGTTTGTATTCTCCATTTTCTTTGCTTATATATTTTATTTATTTTAATTTAATTTAATTAATTTATTTTTTAATCATTTTATTAGGGGCTCATACAACTCTTAACACAATCCATACACACATCAATTGTGTAAAGCGCATTTGTATATTCATTGCCCTCATCATTCTCAAAACATTTCCTCTCCGCTTCTATATTTTAAAGCATGCTCAAAACATAAAAACAAAACAAAAAAGTCTTACAACTGGACCAGTAAGTAACATCATAAATGGAGAAAATAGTGTTTTCAAGGATATAATTTTCCTGGATCCACAATCAATGCCTATGAAAGCAGCATTTATGAGATTAAATGACATATTGCTTTGGGCAAATCATGTTGCAAAAGATCTATAAAGTATCCATAAGCAGAGGCGTCACCTTAAAGTCTAAGGTCCGTGGGACAATGAATTAGGAAGACTGAGAAAAATCGACGTGTTTGAATTACGGTGTTGATGGAGAATAATGAATATGCTGTGCATGGACTGTCAGAAAAGCGACACGTTTTAGAAGAAGTACAGCCAGATTGTTCCTTGGAAGCTAGGATAAGACTCACATTCGTGGGAGTAACCAGTCACGCTTGGTGGAGAGGGTCAGCAGAAAAGAGGAAAGCAGGCAAGCAGATTGCTTGACAGTAGATGCAGCACCGGGCTCACACGTAGCAATGATTGAGCACATGTTTCATTCTGCTATACGTGAGTCTCTGAGTTGGAGTGGAGTTAACAGCACCTGATAACAAACCTGGGTTGGGAAAAGTAGATTTCTGTAAACGCATACCCAAACGTGATTGACACAGGGCCTGCGACCGTGGGCTTAACCATCACAACCATTGTGAGGACGTCGTCACAGGACTGGACAGGGTTTTAGGCTGTTGTGCCATGGGGCGAGATAGACTGACAGCACTTAACAGCATTTATTATATTGAAATACATGTTAAAAAGAATTACTTTAAGCTCAGTAAAAAAAAAAATACTAAGAAGTAATTTTTATAAGATTGATCATTTAATTTACCTGTAAATATATGGATACTGCCTATACAATATAATGTGTGGACATTATGTATATGAAATTAGGATTGCAATATACTTCTTTTCGAGTATATTCAGATTTATTTGTTAGTAATATCACGTGGATGGAATATTTCTCCTCTTTGTTAGCTGATTTGATAAGTCAATATCATAAGCCTTGGAGTCAGCGATATGAATTCTAGTATTATGCCATACAGTAGATTGTCAGTGACTATTGGACTGAGTAAGAATAGATCTTTCAGCTTTTAAAATTGTATTGTCTGCTTTCTAAAGACCAGTTGGTTTTTTATTGTTAGTAATTACAACTGTCTGCATTTATTGTGGTCTGCTTTTAATAACCTGAGGAACCTGGTAGTGGTTACAAGTTGGACTTCTACCTACAATATCAGCAGTTCAAAACGCTCCACAGAAGAAAAGGGCGCTTTCTACTCCCGTAAACCGTTCCAGTCCCGGAAACAATCAGGGCAGTTCAACCCTGTTAGAGGGTTGTTAAGAATTGGGATCGACTTGCTGGCAGTGAGCTTGGTTTTTTGTTTTAGTTTTAATAACCTATTTTTCTCTTCACTTCCTATTTACTTTTGGCTGGGAAATTACATTGTATACCTTAGTTTATTGGGTTACAAAATTAGGATTTTCCAGTAAGTCATATCTCTGGACTTGGATGCTTGAGGTTTGTTGCTCAGCGGCTGTTTTCCCATTTGGCTTCTCTGTCTTAAGCCGTGTTCTCTGAGCTTGCCAGATAATTAAGTGCTGGGCATGAAAAAAGTCCTGATATTTGGATTTGAAGCAGAAGCTCTTACACTTGGTAAAGATGACAAATTTCATAGAGAAGTCCATATTTTGGTTGGTATTTGTCAGCAACTAAAAGGTTGGGAGGTTCAAAGCCATCCAGAGGTGCCGTGGGAGACAGACCTGGAAATGTTTCCACAAAGGTCACGTCCTTGGAAACCGTATGGAGCGCCTGTACCGCGCAGTTCACCTGTGGTCGCGGAGCCAGAATAGCTATGACAACCGACAGCAACAGAGTTCAAGTGGAGTTTTTAAGTTATTTCTTGGTTTCTCCTGCTGTTAGGTTGTTCAGAACAGATGCCCCAGTCTTTTGTCAGCAGCTGATCACCTGCTTGATATTTATATCCAACTTACTGGTGAGAAACATAGCCCTCGGAGCGGAAGTGCTGCTGAAGGTGAACGGGCACCTGAGGAGGTTTCAGAAGCCGGAAGAGAAAACAAAAGACCGAGCCTAGAAGGGAGAGAACTTTCTCTAAGGTACTGGGTTAAGTGTTTTCTTGTGTGGTGATGTTCATAAAATGGATTCCTCCAGAAGTTCTTAGCAGCTGAAGCAAAATGTTTGTGAGAGGGTAGAGTTTGTGTTTCGACTTCTTGGCACTGTAATGGTGTCAGAGGAAAAGGAGTTTGATTTCTTTGGTGGTATACACACATGTACACACATGCATATGGCTACTCCTCGGGTAGTGATGATCTCATCTGACATTTTGCGTTTGTGACAATAGTAAACATCTATCTGAACCTTGTGCACATGGATGATGTTTGTATGAGAGGCCTCAGAAAATTTCTGGGGAAATGGAACTGAAGGATAATGAAATTTCCCCACAAACTCTTTGAAGCCTCCTCATATGTCTAGAAGTTAAAAATGCCGGTGTGAGTGAGAGTAGCACCGGCTATATGGCTAGTGCCGGTCCACTTGGACGGGCTGTAATTCTCAGTGGTTTGGCGGTTATGTAATGGTATGGTCATTTCTCATTTTGTGATCTGATGCTGTCACTTTCCATTTGTGCGCACTGCTGATTTTGCACACCAAGACCCAGTCTTGGAGCCTCACCTTGACAGTGAGTTAGGAGTGGGTGTTGTAAGTTCTGTGCGACAGAGCCTCTGTGGTTGACCGGCTATTGAGAAGTAAGAATTAAAAGTGAGGGGCACCGTCATCTGCCCTGAGTCTCGGTTGCGGCCCCAGCCTTTAGATCGGTAGCGTAGTGACTGGTAATGACTGACGTGCAGGTGTGGGGTCTGCGACCACTCAGCCTCTCTCCCAGGAGAGACTTTACAGGTGGCTGGTATCCCTCCGACTTCAGTGGAGCACATTAAATAGATAACACCGCCTCGGCCCCCACTATCGTTAGCCTGTGGTCTTTGAATTCTCTCCA